TGATACATCCAGCCCGCACCTGCAGGAACACACACAACACACTACACAAACCGGGGTTTAACACTCATGGAGCATCTTATCATCTTTCTCCCTGTGTCTATCTGTCTACGCATCAAATAGAAGCTCACGGGGTTTTCGTGTCTTTTTACACTGCCTGTTTCTGTGCCACCTCTCCAGATGAGCCTTCTCACGTGTGTGCCAGGATGCATCTTTAGCAGCCAACTGGAACAGAAAGCTGATGTGAAAGTCCAGGGAGGGGCTGAGCAGCAGAGGTGTGTGTCTGTGTAAGAGACTGGGAAAATAAATAAATAAATAAAGGCTGGGAATGGTAGTAAAATTGTCTGATATAATATTATGTTAAGACAAATCCATTTTGGACCAAAATTGGTTTCACAATGTCAGGCTACTGGGAAATTGTTGAGCAATTTCCCCTCTGTACGCTTTTTGTCCAGGAGAAAATTGGGTCTCTACAGTAGAAATGACAAATCATCTACTTATCAGGAGTACGTACTCTTCTGAGTTTTCAGCCTCACATCTGACTGTCCACATTGTAGAACCATATTAGAATTACAGATAGAAAGTATCAGCACGGCTTAATGAAGTGTTAAAACATATGCTAAGAGTGCGTTACTTCTATACTGTGTCTTTCCTTTATATTTGCAAGTGACTTGTTGTATTAATTAAACCAGTAGGGGGCAGTGAGAGAGTAAGAACCATCTGTCCCAAAGCTCCTGAAAAAAAAAAAAAAAGCCTAATGTAGGAATGTGGGTGATACCAAATCTGTTCAGTATCTTAGTATTGCAGTATATCTGTGTACTACTCCTTTGTGGTGGTGGGAGATACTGAACAGTATCATTGATATCGTACGCCTTTGGTAAAATCTTAATTTTGATAAATATAGAAAATTGATATTGTATTTAAAAAGTGGTTATTGACTGGTGTCCATTGATTAACTCAAAGGACCTGTTATGATAACTAATAATGAAGCTGATTTGCATAATTCTGCTCAAGTACAACTGAAACATCCAGCCCATCTGGATTGTTGACTGATTACACGGAACAGCTTCATTATGTTCATTTATGCTCTGCCAAAGTCACATACAATTTATTAGACATCAAGATGTTTGGATTGTGCTAATAGTTCAGCCCTCCCTAATGTTTTGAAGCATTTACACAATTACACTGATAGGTCCACAGGGAGCTGGACCAGGGGCAGGTCAGGACAAAGAGCCTGAGCCCAGAAGAGACCGGGAATGATTCATGAGCGTCCTGTGTCATTGATGCTGTGTTTGGTGTGCAGCAGGATGAATGCCCAAAAGACCAAATTATTGTGTCTAATACTTATTTCATCAAATATGTTTTTTTTTAAACTGCAAGTGAATTTAGTTTTATTATTGAATATGAATCAAAGCATGAGTAAAGTTAATTAAACCTTCTAAAAATATATGTTATGAAATATGAATACATAATAATAAATATCTGTCTAAAATTTTATTTTATGAAATATGAATACATATCTAATAAACCTTTACTTCGGTGCATGAAAACAATATAGAAAAATATAGTCTTGTTATTTAAAGTTAATTATGTTTTGATTGTACTGGTCCTACCCACTTGACATCTAATTAGGTTGTATGCGTCCCTTGAACCAAAATGATTGTGACACCCCTGCTATAGTGTTAATATTTCATAGTTAAAGCCACTTTGTACTATGAAAAATACCCTTAAAATCAAAAAGCTTAAAAAGCCTTGCTTTAAACATCGTCTTTTTCCCTAATCTCCCTGCAAATATTAAATGTATATTATGTATGTATTATGTACCTCAAACAATAACTAAAACTAAAATGGACATAGACGTAGAACCCTGACCTTCTGACCTTGGGTGTTTTTGAACAAAGTTATTGATATCAGTCAGGAGTTCAGCCAGTCTTCCACTCAGAAGGTCAGGGTTCTAATCTAGTAGCACTGTGTCCTGGGGACAGGAAGCTTAACCCCAAGTTTCTCATTATACCCCAGACACCTAGAGCCTGGCCCAGGCTTGGATAAATGGATGGGTTTGCGTCAGAAAGGGCATCCAGTTTAAATCCTGTGCTAAATGACACAAGTGGATAATCATCTGTGGTGACCTTTAAAGAAGGTTGCAGCTGAAAGTGATGCCTCTTCAGACAAATATCCTGGGTTGCAACGGCATTGAATACCAACTTACCAAGGGGAGCGTGGGCATTAAAAATTAGCAGTGTTGCTCAAATGTGGTGAAATTCATCTCTCGTGGTTTCATTCAAGGTTACTTTTTTCATTACCTTCCCTGAATAACATCCAAACTGTGGGCCTCGTGTCCATGCCTGTGTTCTTGAACTACTAAAAACTTTGCATACAAAAATTCAAAACTCTAATAATAAAAAAGGGTCTATTGTTTGACAGTTTGCCCTGTCTTTACTCTTTTACTTTACATGAGGTAATACTCATCTCCTCTTACAGTCACAGAGGTTTCTGTTGGATATCAGCAAAGCTTAACTGCTCTTTGATTAAAAGAAATGACCAGGGTTACAGTGACATATGGTAGAAAATCTGTCGTAAGATTAACCGACGCCATCTTACACCAACGGAGAGTTTGAAAAAAAATTAAAGTGTAATTAAGGCTACAGTAATAAGTCTCCTGGCCTTGTCTGACCTCGGGGTGCTTACTTTGCTGTAAAGAATCTAATGACAGTATTCAAAAGTTAATTTGAATATCACGATTCACTGATTTACAATCATGATTGTCTTCATGACCAGTCAATGACAGTTGAGACAACAGTCACTGTAAGTCAGTGTATCAGCTGACGTAAGTGACCCACGTTAATTTAATTTAACTACAGAAGAATAAATAAACTGAGTAAGTACAAACTAAATAGTACAAACTTCAGCACAAAATTCCGCAATCACTGCTAAGCTATTCCAAAAATAGCACAGCTTCATACAGTCTTGTTTTATTTCAAACATGGAAAACCATAATGAGGGCCATGCCTCTATATAGATATACCCTGTGAACAGATACCAATACCAACATCTGTTAATAACATGATAATCATTTAAACTAGCCAGTTTCATCCCCTTAGATCCCCCTACTCCACCCCCCAAATGGTGTCTTTGTGTGACCTCTAGGGGTCGGTGACCCCCTGTTGAAGCCCTATGTTTGAGTGCAAACGCTGTTCTACGTACTTAAACAACCTGTGATAAATCACATGAACTAATTCCTTATATTATGAACCACTGATAAAAAGCATCAAACCAATGGTGATTGTTGTTCTCTACAGAGGTCAGAGGTTTCACTCAAACCTCAGAATTGCTGCACCTAAAGGCATGTCTGACTGATTAGTCTCCCATTAGAATTGTTTTTACACCAAATACAGACACCTATTATTTATTACCCATGTCTGTTTTTTTAAAAAATAAACAAGCATATTATAATTTAAAATTGACCATGTGTTATCATGCGCCTGAATGTGGTTTCCTATACAAGCAATATAAAATGTTTGTTCTTTTCATCCCGAAAGAATACAAAGGGTATGCAGAAGCGAGCAGAACGCAGCGCTGTGACGAGACGTGACAGCAGAGTCCTAATAGATTGTGTGTGACCGTCTCACTCAACACTTCCCCTGAGAACTTCAATCACTCATTTTCCTCCATGTGCTCCCAATCACCACAAACAGATGGCAAAGCATTTAGAACACATGGGGATTAGAAGGTTGATTATAGACTACTGGGAGTTGCTGCTCTGTGGAACAGGGAAAGTTCATTTTAGGCCCAGTTGTTTACATACAAAGTCTACTCTCAGTTTCTAGGCAGCTACTGTAGTTTTTAAATGTGATAGGATACTGTCATACTTAATACAATCTGGCCACTCAGAGGCCAGATCACCTTATTTTGTACAAAATTAAAAATGCTGTCATACTTCATACTTAATAGAATCTGGCCACTCAGAGGCCAGGTCACCTTATTTTGTACAAAATTAAAAATTAAAGATAGCTGCTTCTACTTTGTGGAATTCTTTTTCTTGGACACTTAACTACAAATACGAAGATAGATAAGCTGCTTCTACTTTTTCTTGAACACTTAACTACAAATACGAAGATAGATTACGTATGCAAGTGAATATAACTTAAATGGAAATAGAAGAATCACTTTCAGATTAGTAGTCCACACTATAGTGACGTGAAATACAAAAAGATTTAACTCATTTCACCGATTTCTTTTTCTTTTCTTTTAATTTTTTTTATCCCAATAATACAAATACTGTCCATTCAACAACCTTAATTGTTGTATGGGTTATGTATTTTTACTATTTACACAATGTAACCTAAATAGTTTAATTTTTTACCATTAAATGGAAGATGTCTAGTGAACTTGAACACTGCTCTGTTCTGGTCAGTGGTCATGTGACATAAATGGATCAGTTCAACTTTACATGACTTTTGCAGCACAAAAGCCTGTATGTAGTAAGTTAGCCTAAAAGATGTGGAAGTGACACGTGTTCTTTCATTTATGAATTAGTAGTAATACTTTACGAAAAGTAATCTGAATCGATATTTTGATACTCATGTGAGTATTGATTTATTGATCCCATGGAATCGATACTCCCATCACTACTGCACAGTGAAGGGCTTTTACACTGTGTGCCCTTTCTGATGTAACCCGACCAAAGTGTCAAACTCAAGGTTGAGTTTTTTTAACCTAATGAATTAAAATGTTTTTGTTTTGTTTTTTATTACACAAAGCAATGAACAATGTTTTTAACTTATATCAATCAACAATCAATTGCAGAAACATTTATTAATACGGTATATGGAGTATTTATATCTATACAGTCAACAGGGGAACTTTATTACTGATGTGGCCACCGTGGTGAAAATTTTGACACAGAGAATTACATCTCTGTCTTAAACATATCACTTTAATTTATATTACAATTCTGTCTATTTGATCGAGTCTTACATAATGAATCTACCGTGCCACTTTTTACGTCAGGAATTCAAGGAATGCTGCTGCCGCTCTGTGACAACACGGGCGTGTAAAAAAAGCACAAGAGTGTTTTAAGTCCACACGTTTTGTTCACCTGCCATGAGATGAATCTGTGTTTTGGAGAAACGTTCCCAGAGGGCTCTCATTGGTTAGTACCAGGGACTTATTTGCATACGGTGGGAGTGACCTGTGAGAGCCAGCAGTGGGATGAATGACTGGTTTAAGTCAGACAGCAGACGCGGCTGTGCTCAGCAGAGGTCTGAACTGCACTACACTCAAAATGCATGACTTTCCTAAGCTGTCACTCTGACTGCAGTTAATGAGCAGAGCTGGACATGATCATGTTAAACAGCAGACATCACAGCTCCAGCAGAAGAGGAGGAACATGGGTAAGTTGGTGACAATTTACTCTGCCAACGAATTCAGTTTTCAAGGGTTAGAATATCACAGTGTTGGCCGACGGAAACTAGTAGGCCTTCTCTCTGGTGTTTAGATTCCTTGTAAAATTGACTTGTAAATTTGTTTTGCACAGTGAATTAATATCTCACAGTAAGAGACTGTATCATTTATTTCTCTGTACTGCCCTCAGATTTGGTCTGTTATGGATGTAGGTTAGATATCCTTTGAACTTAAGGAGGGGTTAAAAAATAAAAAAAAATTAACTCTCCAATTGGCTAAATCATTACATTAAATCAAATATAATACCAGCCTTTTAGCCATAATTTTAGTTTTGCTTGTAAATGCCAGTGTTTTCTGCTTCTCATGAATCATGCGTTATCTTTACCTCTCTTTTTCTTCCAGGGATTATGCATCATCCTTCTTTACATAAGCCCACCTTTTTGTTTTGCGAGTTTCAGCCAAGCAAAAGAGCTCATCTATAAAATAAAGGAAGGATTACCGAGAGGAACCTTCATTGGCTCCATTGGAGTGGACTTGGATTTGGATTTTACAGTAAAGCCCCCCTTCTTATTCAGTCTCCCACAAACGAGTATCAGTGACCAGTATGTGAACCTAAATAATACGACCGGGGAGCTTTATACGTCTGCCACGGATATTGACAGGGAGACTCTCTGTCCTGATAACGCTGAGAGATATGGATGTCTCCTCTCTCTGGATGTATTTTTATTGCCTCAGCAGTACTTTCAGCTGATCAAAGTTAAAATCTTCATTGAGGATGTCAATGACAACAGGCCAAAGTTCCCAGTGGATGAGATCACTTTATCTGTTCCTGAAAATACACCCATCAATTCTCGCTACGCAGTGGAACATTCTGCTGTGGATCCCGACCTGGGCCCTAATGGAGTACAGACCTACTGGCTGGTTAATGATTTTGGAGTGTTCACTCTAGACGTAGAAGAAAATGAAGGAGGCGAGCTCACTCCCTTTCTTATAGTGACAGATGCCTTGGACAGAGAGAGACAGGATGAATACATAACAGACATCATTGCAGAGGATGGCGGTTCCCCTCCTTTACTTGGGGCAGCTACGTTCAGAATTATCATCACAGATGTCAACGATAATTGTCCGCAATTTTCAGAAACACACATTAATGTCAGCGTACGTGGAAATAGCAGTAAAGGGTCATATTTGACTCGTCTGCACGCTTTTGATCCCGATCAGGGTGCAAATGCTCAGATCAGCTATGCTTACAGCGAACGAGTGACAAAGGAGACGAGGAGCTGGTTCCACTTGAACCGAACCACAGGGGTGATCACGCTGGCAGGAAAAATAGACTCTGCCTCGACCACATTTTATAAACTCACCGTTCTTGCATTTGGACCTGGCTGTATTCCTGCTCTGGCCACTGTTAGTGTCCATGTCATAAAAGTTGTCAGTGGGCCCCCTGCAGTCATAGCCAGGTATATTGCACCAGAAAAAGATGGAGTGGTAACAATAAAAGAGTCCGAGCCAGCTTTCACACCAATAGCTTTCTTTACTGTCAGGAACATCGCAACGAACCAAAGGGTAGACTGTCTCTTAGAAGGGACGGGTCCCTTCAGGCTTGTCCCCTATCAGCAGTTAAAATATGAATACCTGTTGGAAACAACCGCGCCTTTGGACTATGAAGTAATAGAGGAGTACGATCTTATTGTGGTTGCTGAGAACACTGGAGGGCTAGTCATGAAGACATTTCTGAAAGTGCAGGTATTAGATGAGAACGACAACGCACCAGTTTTCCAGCAGTCTTCAGTGGAGTTGCTCATAGAGGAAAACAACCCACCGAATTCTTTCCTGACCCAGCTCAAAGCCGCAGACCCGGACAGCGGAAGCCGTGGGGAGGTAATCTATCTCCTGGGAGGCGACACTCCTGGGATCTTTGCTATAGATCGTGTGACAGGGGTCCTGAATGTAACCACATCTCTGGACCGTGAGGAGAAGGAGACATACCGGTTTCTTGTGAGAGCAGTGGACCAGGGAACACCTAGGAGGGAGTCGATTGCGACCGTGGTGGTGACGGTGAAAGACCAAAACGATAACAGTCCACGATTCATCGATAAGGACTTCACTTTCTTTGTTCCGGAGAACTTCCCAGGTTATGGTGAGATCGGAGTCATCTCTGTGACGGACGCGGATGCTGGAGAAAACGGATGGGTGGCGCTGTCTATCCTGAACGGCAGTGACATCTTTATGATAGACACTGGGCGAGGGGCACTCAGGACTAAGACACCCCTTGATCGTGAGCAACAAGGAACATACCATTTGTGGATCGAGGCCTCAGATGGTGGGGAACCCCGACTGTCCTGCGTTACCATGGTGACTGTGTTGTTGTTAGATGTTAATGACAACCCACCCATTGTCCTCTTCCCCCAATCCAATCAGTCCTACATGCTTGTACTACCCAACACATTACCCGGCACATCCATCACTGAGGTGTATGCCGTGGATAAAGACACAGGCATGAATGCTGTGATTGCCTACAGTATCATTAAGAGAAAAGGTGGAGAGACTGAATCATTTGACATTGACTCCAATACTGGAAATATCACATTAAAGAGGGGGCTGAATAACAGAGGCCTCTGCAGCCTCCTGGTTAAGGTCAGTGATCATGGTCAGCCAGAGCCACTCTTTTCCACAGTAATGGTTAATTTCTTTGTCAATGAAACAGTGAGCAATGAGAGTTACATCCAGAGTTTGCTGACCAGAGACGCTGACATACAGATAGAGGAGAAACCCTGGTTCATTGGCCAGATGACCGAGGGGCCTGAGAGGTACGAGCTGTTCCCCTGTCAGCCTGTTGTTATTGTTCTCTCCCTGACCTGCTTGGGATTATTCATAATGGTCGTGACTCTGATGTCTTACATTAGCTGTCAGAAGCTCAAGAAGCGCAAGAAGAAACAGATCGAAGTAGAAGTCCCTTTAAAACAGAACAATGACTCCATGCAGGTGGTGAATAGAAAAATCAGGCAGATCTCAAACCTCTGATGTCTGTCTGCCTGCACATCACAGCACAAATCCAGTTTACAAGAATGTTTACACAACTCACTGTAAGAAGTGAAATTCTTATGTGAATTTGTTTGTCACAGACATTTGAATATTTTATTATTAATGTATGCGATTTCAAATACGCCATGAGGCGCTGTAGTTCAAATGGCACACTGTTCTCACCTCTGTTTCACTTCATCAACATCTCTCAATTACCTCCATGGAACATTGACACTGAAACCAAAGTGATTGATTCGTACTGATGTCAAGGTGATAACAGCTTTATTACTGTAGTCCTGGACTCCTTTTAATGCAAGGCCAAGTAAATGTATGAAATTAACACACATTTATATATATATATAAATTAGCACCTAAAACGCAAGAGCATTTTACTTTTATTTATTTAATTTTCGATTTGCAACATTTAGGATGCAGTACATCTTGGGTTTGCATCTTGTCCCAGAATCAGAGTATGAGGAAAAGTGGGCACAAGCCGAGCGGTACAGGAGCACACACACACACATAAAAAGGCATGTTATCAGCCACCGGGTCACCTACATTCAAAGGGCAACACGAGGGTTAAACAGATCCAAATTGTTGAAAGTAAGCAAGTATCCAAGGCTACATTATTTTCGTATCTTACATTATTGCATATCTTATAACTAATGAATAGCTGGCCCTAATGGAGCACAATGTTGATATTGAAACTTAGTTAAAGGGGAAAATGAATTAGATGGCAAGATTAAAGCGTCCTCATTTCTATACAGTCTACTCAGACAAACTTCTGCAGGGAAGGGCAAAGACTTACAGTGGAGTCTTGTAACGATGTTGCTGTGATGTCACCAGGCTTCCGTTGGAGATAATACACTTCATTGTTCAATTTCTCTTAGAACTTGATTGTGATGTTTTTCGTGACAGGGGGACAGTCTCACTTCCTACAAATGTCGTGAAGTGAGAGAAATGTGTACACAGATGACCCTTTGTCATCTTCTGGTGCTTTACTAATAGAAAGTAAGACTCTGGTCTGTTATACAGGGGGTCCTCGGTTTTACGATTCATTAATAAAGTCTTGGTTCATCATTTCAATGTACGGAGTTGGGTACAGGAACTTCTTGCCCTTCATTATGGCTCCCAAGCGTAAGTCAGACTCTTCAGGTGTTTATATGTCCTAGATTATGAGGTTGCCACTGTGTTAGCATATGTGAGTGACATAGGTACTGACATAAATGAAAATCGAGTCGAAGACCCAATGCATCGACACTCAGTGGTCACATGTCCATAGTTTTCATATGCATATGGCACGCATTCATTTACAAGGCAGTTTGTATGGAGAAAATAAATGTAATTTTATAAACACTGAAGGCTGACTTAAGACACAGGCAGTGAATGCCTGTGTTTTAGTTGCTGATTTTTTTTTTTTTTATGTGGGTTTATAGCCAGTCCAACATACCTGCATACTGTATGTAAAAATGATCATATGCAATTGAATGAGATTTAAAATGTTATAAATGTACAAGCACCTTGAGTTTGAAATCAGTTTGATGTCGATACAGTATAAACCCCATGTCAGATTTTTTCTAATGACTCACCGTGTACTTTGTGTCATGCCTTCATGCCTGTTATGTTCGCTACACTTTTAAACCTAATGCCCTTCACTGTGTCACGCAACGTACTGTCTGTGTCAGATAATTGAAAATATCTATTAAAGATTATTTATTTTTATAACACAGTTTTGTATGTGTACTATGTATATAAGTTTAAAGGCAATAATAATTGTCATTCTTAGATTTACTCAGAAATTTAATTACATTCTATTTTTTATTTTTATTTTATGGTTACCAAATAAAGATGAATTACTTAATATAAAACCAATCAAATTGTCACATTCTCCACATGAAAACACATGACTACAAACCTCACCAAGCATTTGTTTGTTGACCTTCTTCTTGTCAAAGTCACTCAGACAAAAAGCCTTTAAGACTAATAATACATCTGTAGGCGAATGTACACTCCCTTGTTTGGATCTTAAGTCCTTATTTAAAAAAAAAGAACCTGTTGGGTCTGTGGCTCTTACAAAACAGGAAACGTGAAAACAATCCTTTGTTGAGACTCACACGCAGCTTCTCCACTTATAATCAGCATTCCAGGGTTGACGCTTGTCACACAGAGCGCGTGAGGAGCTAAAAACAATTTGGTGTGAAGCTTAGCAATCACGACCCTCCAGACCTAACACAACTAGGCTGGAGGGAAAAGGCATAATCACTTATGTGCAGTACAAGCAAAAGAAAGGTAAAAGCACAGTGGAGTATTGTAATAACAGCATTTGACTAAACGTGTCACATTCTATCTGCCTTGTGTCACCGTGGCATACCTCCAGAGGTTCAAAAGGCCACTTAGATTCAGTTGCCTGAAATGAAAAGGCACATAAAATGGTTTAACCCGTTAGAACTGCCATTGCTTCTAGCTGCATGTAAATATATATATATATACATTTTATTCACCAGACTATAAGTCGCAAAAAAAAGTAGCCAAAAAAATGCATGATGAAGAAGAAAAAAACATAAATAAGGCTCCCCAGTATAAGTCAAACCAGCCAGCTAGAGTGCCCTCTAGCTGCAGTCAGTGTGAAAATAAATAACATGTGTAATTTCAGTGGTACTGGAGTAGCAGATACTGGTACACAAGCCTAGAGTGACCTGTAGTGGCAAATCATATTTTGATAATAATTTAATAAAGTTGCACCTGAGTATAAGTTGCAAAAAAGGTGTACTTATAGCTGGGAAAATACAGTATATATATATATATAATAGGGTTTAGTCAGAAAGGGCAGCTGTGAACAGAAGTTCGCAACCGAGTCGAGCAAACACATTCAGTAATTTATCACTTGGATGAATTAGTACTGAGTCAATATCCTGTTGGTTCTCTCCATGTCAACCCACACGAGGGTCAGTTTCTCAGGCATTAGCTGCTGGCAGCCAAGTAATACAGAAAATAATCTGTTTCCCTCGCATTTTTACACTTGACTTTTTCACACCATGCTCACAGTTACAGCGGATGATTAATTGCAAAAACACGGGGGTAGATTTAATTTCACTGTCATCTTTCTTTTTGACTACTCTAACTCTGTTTTAATCCACCAGTGTTCCTCCACACGATGGAAAATGGAACAGCACAACACACTCATAAAAGGCTCAAGACCCATTGTGTTTTAATTCCAGGTCACGTAGTTATAGGTGGCATACTTGTTCCTAAAAAGCCAAAAAATGCACGGAAAACTTTTCTCCCCGTCTCAAATTAAACCAAGCTCTTTGGTTTTCACAGTACTGCTGTCATGAGTAACAGCTCAAACCTGCAAAGTAAAGCTAATATGTTTCATTTCATTTCAACTATATTATAATATAATAATATAGAGATTATTTCCAGATAAATCTTTAAACCTAGCTTTGGGTTTTAGATTTAGATTTAAGTTTCACATGTTCTAAATAAAGGTGAGATGTTGGAAAAGCTGTGTAAAAATCACCAGGTAAATAAAACCTGTGTAGTTTTTTAATACATTGTAGAGACAGCGGGTCAATATTTCATCTTTATATCATGTCATCCAATACGATCGCTTGAAGGACCTTTAACTTCAGCCTGAATTGTTTTTAACCTTGAACGGTGTTATAACTGTCTCGTAAATACATTCAATCCTGTACTGTTTTTTTTTTCCTACTTACTGTGGCTGTACTTAACAGCAGGGAGGGAGGGGGGAGTCAGCCCGGCCCCACAAACTACTCCACAGCTTTTCTACATGACTGATCACCTCAGTAATCCTGCTGACAGTCAGTCAATCGTTCAGGCAGGAAGGAAACAGAAGGTCGAATTGGCAGATATGTGACTCAAATATCTGTCACTTCTTTGGAGTATTCCTGGTCTGAGACCCTGAATCTTTCTCTATCTTTTTGAAGCAACAGAGTAGTCAGGAAGAAAGAGACGGCCCACACACAGTGAGGCATTCAAACACGTGTTTAGAAAGTCCGAGACGTCCTTGTTCCTAACCATGAGCAACTAAAGAAGAGTGGCTGAGCTCCAACAAGCCCCCCAGCCCCCATCCTCTCCCTCGCTGCCTCTGCATGAAGGTGGGGAAGTCTATCTGCAATTCCATTAAATTCTTAATAGTGCAGACAGCAAGTAATTACAATCACCCACAGCCTGATCTCATTTCCACCATGGCTTTATTGTAGCGTCCAGGCCTTGAAATCAAATAAATAAAGACACAATGAGAGGCTCAGGTCGGGTTACACAGATCTCATGAATAGGTGAGGCTACATTTCCCATTATGACATCAAATACGACCCTCCACACACCGCTACATCTCCACCATCCAGCACACACACAGACACACACATAGGTTTTTCATGAGTTTTGAGGTCTTCACATGGACATAACGCATTACTAACTACTGCTGCATACTGCTACATCTTATATAACGACATCTTAAAAATGGGGTCCACAACAAAACAATTTACAGAACAATGTCCCCACAAGGATAGCTATTCGCACATAGACTGCACACATGCACCGTGTTTACCATATCAGTACCATTTTCTCCCCCGAAAGAGCACTTTAATCCAAAGAATCTCCATCCATCCATTTTTGTCTGCTTATCCGTGGGCCACGGGGGCAGCAGTCTCCACGACCGCCACCCAAATCACACTGCGCCGTACCAGCCAACTGCCTTACCCGGGATTCGATCTTGCCCAGGGGGTGAACCCTGGGGTTCCACCTGAAGAATATTTCATTTGCAACTATGTACAACAAAACAGAATCCAATCACATGTTTTGAGTTTGTTGTGATTAATTAAAATAAAAAATAATAAAATAAAAAACATAGAATGCCCAGCTGATCCACAAGAGCTCCATTAAAAGGCTCTGTTTCACTGGGCTGCCTGATTTCTTTTGTAGTGGCCCTGGCTGGGGGGTTCTGGTACCTTATTCTTGACACATCATCTGGGCAGGACATTTTTTGGTCATGTGGTTTAGCACAAATGTGATTGTGATTGTGCGGATTTTGAGTTGACATAGTTACATGTGGTACATTTGAATGGTCAGAATAGATTTTCTTGGTTGTTTTCATCAACGTTTAATGAATAGTTTTAAGTGCACAAGTTCAAAACTGGATTGAATTTGTGAGGTCTGACTGTCTCCCTTCCCCGCTGCTGTCTGCTGTGTAATCAGTGTGATCACACTCACCTGTGTCTCTGTCATTAGTCTCACTGGTGTCACCTGGTGACCTGGGTATATATACCTCTCTCCCTGTGTTTGTGTTTGTGTTGGTTTCCATGTTGTTTTTCTTTTTGCTACCCAGTGAGTTTTGTGATTTTAGACTTTGTAAATGAACTTTCTGCACCTGAAGACTCTCTCCTGAAACTGCATTCAACGTAAATTATCTGATGAATGAAGTTACTTTTGTGAAATGCATACAAACACAAACATGTCTCCTGCCAAATGTGTCAATTCTTACATTCTTCAATCATTACAGTGTCTTCAGTGAGATGATTTTGAACCTTGACATGCCAGAAGAGAGTTTTTCACACATTTACATTAACTGGGACTACCAGGTACTTGCCTTTTGGTATTTGACTAATTTCTTACTCGATGTGAAGGTAGCAATTAGACTTTTGTGAAATGGAATACAGTAGATCCTTGTGTGTCTGGATAGACCTGTTATATCAGGATATTTTAATGATAAGTCTTTAAAGCATTGTTTCCCAAAGGCTGGGTAGTGACCCTCAGATGGGGTTTTTTGGGGTTGTCTTGCATCACGCTTGCCAGGAGTTTACAAATAATGTCTATTGACTTGGGTTGTAAAGGTTTGTGACTGTTAAAATATGGATCCCCAGAAAAAACGTTTGGGAAACACTGCTTTAAAGCACGTATTTCCAGCCACCAAACGACAAATGACAGGTGCATATTGGTTGTGGCTTTTTGTTTTGGAATACTGTTATTATTATTCAATGAACAGGACAATAATAATAATATGTGTTGGGCAAAGATAAAAATATTTTTCAAATGTTATTAAGAAGAAAATGCAATCATTGCAGAAGAACCCCTCTTCTCTCTATACAGTCCCACTGTGTACAGCTACAACACTTAAAAGAAATGGGGTTCTTTTTAACAGCAGTTAAAAAAGTCTCTCTACACAGAAAGATTTAAATTAATTTGTAATAATCACAACTTAAACATTAATGTCAATAAATTATTTTTTAAAACTAAAAGCCATTCGTTAAGATTAACTAAGGGGCATTAACGTTTGCTCTAATAATAACAAGTTACCATCAGAGTCAAGGGTATTAAATAAAAAAAAAAAAAAACATGTTAATTACGGAATGTGTTAACGCAATAATAGTGAGTAAACATACTCACCGCGTTTAAAGAAAATAGAACTGCATGTGAGTGAATGCTTCGACACGCAGAAATGTTCCCTTGACCTGACAAGAATGTATACCCTTACATGACGCAACTGTAATAAATATTTAATATGCGCTTTAGGCAAAGGCCTTGTTTTCACTCAGGACAGCCACTACATGCCCAATCACGTTAGGAAAGCAGCACGTGTTTTTCATGTCTGCATGAAGCATAACTTACAGCCAAGCCAAACGAAGGTTTTATACATATGAACTAGTAAGCTACAGCGCTAAAAACATGGAGTCGTGGTATTTATATCAGCGTAATTAAAGTGAGTG